CAGGCATGTGCCACCATGCCCGGCTAATTTTTTCTATATATATTAGTTGGCCAATTAATTTCTTTCTATTTATAGTAGAGATGGGGGTCTCACTCTTGCTTAGGCTGGTTTCGAACTCCTGACCTCGAGCAATGTGCCCACCACGGCCTCCCAGAGTGCTAGGATTACAGGCGTGAGCCACCGTGCCTGGCCTTGGAAGGTTTTTTAATATAGCATGTTTTTGTTTTTAAGCCAGTAAAGATTTTTTTTAAAAAAATCTGTGCAGAAGTGTTGCAAGCAAGTGTTCCATTTTCTGTAGGCTTTTGGAAATAACAGGAACTGGCTCACTGTCCACTGACTCCCATGTCATCGAGGGAGTTAGGGTGGGAACCACTGCCTTGGAAGCCACTTTGCTTTCTCAGGCAATTAGACATCTAAATGTTTCCCTAACCCAGCTCTCTAGAGTCTTGATGGAAGCCATGGGATATTTTTCTCAATTTTGTTCACTTTAAGTGAAAGCTTTCTTGTTACATAATTTGCTCATTCCTAACTCTGTGCTTTCACACACTGCTTCTTCCCCTTTCTCTATCTTTGTTGTCTTTTCCAAAATTCTATTCCTGGTTCACTGCTCTTGGTTTGAAACCACATTTATTTGCACTTCCTGTTACTTTATATTCTTAGACTGTTTTTGTATGTCTACTACTCTCTATAGGTTATAAACATTAAGGACAAGATCCATTTAAAAAAAGTATTATCCTAAGCTAAGCATGGTGGCTCACACCTTAATCCTAGCACTTTTTAAAAAAATGTTTTTAGATGGCCAATTAATTTCTTTCCATTTTTAGTAGAGACAGGGTCTCACTCTTGCTCAGGCTGATTTCGAACTCATGACCTTGAGTGATCCTCCTGCCTTGGCCTCCCAGGGTGCTAGGATAGAATCCTAGCATTTTGAGAGGCTGAGACAGGAGGATCACTTGAGATCAGAAGTTCAAGACCAGACTTAGCAACACAGTAAGACCCCACCCCACCTCCTTCTCTACAAAAAAATAAAATAGAATAAAAATTAGCTGGGCATGTGGAGGGAAAAAAAAAATAAAAAAAAATTAGCTAGGCATGGTGGCACATGCCTGTATTTCCAGTAACTCAGCAGGCTAAGGCAGGAGGATCACTTAAGCCTAGCATTTTGAAGTTGCAATGAGCTATCATGATGCTACTTGCTCTCATGTCCAAGGAACAGAGGGAGACCCAGTCCCCCTGCCAAAAAAAATTTTTTTAAAGATGATTTTTCAGCCCAAATGAACTAATTAAAAAAGAATTATCCTTATTATTTCAAATACCATAATATTTCAAATACCATAATAAATATTTCAAATACCATAATATCCTTATTATTTCAAAAACTGAGTATGGTTCAGAATGAATACCTAATTGAATAAGGAAATGCTGAATGTCATAATAAGTAAGGCACTACGTAGTATCTGACAATTCCCACCTTAACCAAGCAATCAAACTCAGCATAATTAATAGTGAGACATTCCCACCTCATGTGGCTCCAGTGTGATCCAATGTCATCTGTTAAATATTCTTCACAAAAATGTTTAACCCAAATCTAATCAAACCTGTAGATCTATTTATAGTTTGCAGAAAATATGGGCTTACAGCACTGTCTAATAGAACTTTCTGAGTCTGGGCAACATATCGAGAGCTTGTCTCTAAAAAAATAGAATTTTCTGCAATAATGAAAATGTTCTGTATCTGCACTGTCCAGTAACCACCTACCTATTGAAAATTTCATTTCATTTTAATTAACTTAAATTTGAATTTAAATAGCTGCATATGGCTAGTGGCTACTGTATTGGACAGGAGAGGAACAAGTTACATACCACAAGGAAAGAGTTAAGACAATGGAACATTCTACAAGGTAACTGACCTGGATTTTTCAGAAAGTCAATTTCACTAAAAAAAAAAATGAGAGGAATGTTTTATGTTTTAAAAAATCAAAGAAATCTAACATCCAAATGCAAGACATGAAACTTTTTGAACCCTAGACCCAGGAAAAAGTGGAGAAACTTGAATATGGCCTGGTTAATAGATATTATGGAATTATTAATTTTTTAGGTATAATAATATTATTAGTTACACAAGGGAGTGCTCTTACTTTTAGGATTTGCCTATTGAAATATTTAGAAAATGAAGAGTCATGATATCTGTAACTTACTATAAATGGTTCAGAAAAAAAGTCTGTATATTTGTATCTATTTTTTTTTTTTGAGACAGAGTCTCCCTTTGTTGCCCGGGCTAGAGTGCTGTGGCGTCAGCCTACCTCCCAGCAACCTCAAACTCCTGGGCTCAAGCAATCCTTCTGCCTCAGCCTCCTGAGTAGCTGGGACTACAGGCATGCACCGGTGCCCAGCTATTTTTTAAGTATATATTAGTGGCCAATTCACATCCTTTCGTTTTACGGAGTAGAGACAGGGTCTCGCTCTTGCTCAGGCTGGTCTCCAACTCCTGAGCTCAAACGATCTGCCAGTCTCCGCCTCCCAGAGTGCTAGGATTACAGGTGTGAGCCTCTGTGCCCGGGCTGTATATTTATATCTAAATCTTTATTGGGAGGAGAGGGAAAGAGAAATATTGGCTATTTCTGAGGTTTTCAATTAATCTTTTTTTTTTTTAATTTGAGACAGGGTCTTGCTCTGTTGCCTCGGCTAGAGTACAGTGGTGTCATCATAACTCATTGCAACCTCCAACTTCTGGGCTCAAGCAATCCTCCTGCCTCAGTCTCCCAAGTAGCTGGGACTATAGGCATGCACCACTAATGCCTGGCTAAGTTTTGTATTTTTTGTAGAATATAGTATCTTGCTATGTTTCCAAGGCTGGTCTCAAATTCATGGCCTCAAGCAATCCTCCCACTTTGGCCTCCAAAGTGCTGGGATTACAGACATGACCTACCATGCCCAGCTGTTTTTCCATTAACTTGCCATTTGTTCATTTTGTGTCAGCCAACATTTGCTTATGGATAAATGAGAGTGTATTAGTCTGTTTTCTGTTGCTTATAATACCTGAAACTGGGTAATTTATAAAGAAAAGGAATTTGTTTTTTATAGTTATGGAGTCTGGGAAGTCCAAGGTCAAGGGGGTACTTCTAATGAGAGCCTTCTTGCTAGTGAGAATTCTCTGAACTGAAGAGTCCTGAGGGGGCTGGCACATGGTAGCTATCATTTGGTAAGGAGCTGAGCATGCTACCTCAGGTTTCTATTCCCCTTTTGTTTTCTCTTCTTTTTTCCTTTTTCTTGTTTTTTGGGGTTTTTTTTTACTATTTAGATATTTTAAACATCTTTTTTTTTTTTTTTTTTGAGAAGAGTTTCACTTGTTGCAGGCTAGAGTGAGTGCCGTGGCGTCAGCCTAGCTCACAGCAACCTCAAACTCCTGGGCTCAAGCGATCCTCCTGCCTCAGCCTCCCGAGTAGCTGGGACTACAGGCATGCCCACCACGCCGGCTAATTTTATATATATATATTATTGGCCAATTAATTTCTTTCTATTATAGTAGAGACGGGGTCTTGCTATTGCTCAGGCTGGTTTCGAACTCCTGACTCAGCAATCCGCCCGCCTCGGCCTCCCAGAGTGCTAGGATTACAGGCGTGAGCCACCACGCCCGGCCTACATCTTTTATTTTAATTTAATTTTTTCCTTTATTTTTTTGCTCTCATCCTCATATAGAATTTTATTTTTAAATTAATGATTGTATGTATTCAAGGGGTACATAGTGATGTTTCAATATATATAATGTATAGTGATCATATCAGGGTAATTAGCATATCCGTTCTTCCTATTCTTTTTTTTTTAGACAGAGTCTCGCTTTGTTACCCAGGCTAGAGTGAGTGCCGTGGTGTCAGCCTAGTTCACAGCAACCTCAAACTCCTGGGCTCAAGCAATCCTGCTACCTCAGCCTCCCGAGAAGCTGGGACTACAGGCATGTGCCACCATGCCCAGCTAATTTTTTCTATATATATATTAGTTGGCCAATTAATTTGTTTTCTATTTATAGTAGAGACAGGGTCTCACTCTTGCTCAGGCTGGTTTCGAACTCCTGACCTTGAGCAATCCGCCCACCCGCCTCGGCCTCCAAGAGTGCTAGGATTACAGGCTTGAGCCACTGCCCCCAGCCTCTTCCTATTCTTATAAAACCACCAGTTCTACTGCCACAATAGCACATTAATCTATTATCCCATTAATCAACGAATGATCCAATCATCTCTTAAGGGACCCAAGTCTCAATACTGCCACATTGGGGACTAAGTTTCAACATGAGTTTTGAAGGGGACATTATAACTATAGCAAGTGGTAAGCAACATTTACAGAAGATTTGATGTTGAGTTGAAGACCTTAATGCTTTCTATAAATCAATGCAGAACACCATTTGATCTTAGCAGAAGAATGCCCCAGACAGTCTCTCTGGAAAGTATTTTGAGAAGCTGAGTAGGATCTTCTAAATAAAGGTAGAGGCCTTCGGCTTCTGTTTTCAGTTCCCAATTTCGCCACCAGCCAGGACCCTGCCTTGTTCTTAGCTAAGTAGACCATTGAACCTGGTTCCTCAGAGTGATTTCCTCCCATCCTCTGCCTTCGAAGAGAAACACAGTTCTCAAACCACACCAGAGGGAACTAGGAGCACAAACAGCTTATGTCCTTTCCTATAATTGAGCTGGATGCCAGCTTCTTATTATAATTGCCTCACTGATAGCCACAGTGACAAAATAGTTCCGTACCTGCCTAAGCACCTAGCACTCCTCTGGAGATGACAGTTCTTTAAAAAAGCAAGCCCACATTTAATCTACTTCTGCTCTCCCAGACGAGGCCTCTAAGACTTGATGTGGGCAGGCTGGCACTTTTACTTCCTACTCTTTGCATACCGTAAGCAATATAGATCTGTCTCTATTCAGATCCACTCAGCAACCCCTCCTTACCCACATAGCCTTAGATGTTCTTTCTCCAACTTTACCCCCCAAAAATAACTAAAACCGCAAGACATAATATCATCCCTTTATTCAGGAGACAATCAAATATAATACAGGGCTGACACAGACAAACAACTATGCATAAAATTATATAAATCTGCTTGCTACATTTTCCAAAAGAGGTCCAGTCATTGTAGACAAGAAAGAGAAACCAGGAGGGTGCCTAAACACCTGCAGTGTTTGAAGCCAGCATCTCCACACTCCCTTATAATGATGAAGGCAGCCCCAGGTGAAAATGGTCCTGCTAGTAGGAAGAGTACGAGGCTGTGCAGAAGCCATGCTTCCTGGCCCTGCCAGCACTCAGTGGTAGGCCTTGTTGAACTCCTGGAGAGCCCAGCGCTTGTTCTCGGTTGCCTGCTTGAGTTGAGTGTACTCTTTTACCAGCCTGTCAAACTCCTCCCCAAGGACCTCATAGGTGTTCAGGACCTGTCTCGACTTTTCCATGTCCTGTTCTTGTAGGCGAATAGCTCCCTCCAAACGGTCCCTAAGAGCCCAGGCAGAGAAGGTACAGTATAAGGATCTTGCTCCTCAGACAGTAAACAAGAATGGGAACTTTTTTTTTTTTTTGAGACAGAGTCTCGCTTTGTTACCCAGGCTAGAGTGAGTGCCATGGCATCAGCCTAGCTCACAGCAACCTCAAACTCCTGGGCTCAAGCAATCCTTCTGCCTCAGCCTCCTGAGTAGCTGGGACTACAGGCATGCGCCACCATGCCCGGCTAAGTTTTTCTATGTATATTAGTTGGCCAATTAATTGCTTTCTATTTATAGTAGAGACGGGGTCTCACTCTTGCTCAGGCTGGTTTCAAACTCCTGACCTTGAGCAATCCACCCACCTCGGCCTCCCAGAGTGCTAGGATTACAGGCATGAGCCACCGTGCCCAGCCTGGGAACATTTTTAAATGAATGAGTCTAGAGAGTGTGGGAACCATCTGTGAACAGCCATACCAGGCTCTTGAGAGTTCTCACCTAATGAGACGATGAATCTCCACTTTCTCGGCAGTGTAAGTATCAGACAAAATCTTTAGCTCCTCCATCCTGACAGAGGGAAGAAAGAAATGTCCTGACAGCAGCAAAGTTAGGAATGGACACAGTACCCGCCCATGGTCAGGGTGTGGGCTACGCAGTGACAGGATAAACAAGGTCACCCTGAATCCCTGAGCAATTGATCTCATAGTAAAGCGCCTACTTCAGGGGGCTGTAAAAGAAAAGACTCGAGAATGTTGAGAGCTTTTGGGTAATCCAAATGCTCATACTGCTTCGTGACATTGACTGGATACACCAAGGTGAGGGAGGGAGGGCCGGTGTGTGAGACAGAATCCTTTAGATCTGCAGGGCTCACGGCTCACCTCAGCTTCAGGATCATGGCACTGCACTTGATTTCCAGGTACTGGGCATTGATGCGGTCTAGCTCAGACTGGGTCTGCAGCCGGTGTTCCTGAAGAAGCCTCTGCAGCAAGGTGAGGCAGCGGAGAAGCACCTGAGCCCCCAAGAGGAAGGAGGAAGAGGGCATAAATAAAGACAGCAGAAAAGAAAATCTTGGTTTCCCCAAAGAAACCCCCAAGAAATCCTTGGTTTCCCCAAAGGTGCCCCTGGGTTCAGGGTAAAAGAGACAGGAGGCTGTCCCACTGCCCTGACAAACCTGGGAGTAGGTGGCACTCTTCTTCTCCAGAAGCACCATCTGCTCCTTCTGCTGGCTCTTGGCTTCCTGGCACTGCTGCTTCTCACCCACCAGGACCTCTGCCAGTTTCCACACCTTTGCTGCCTTCAGGGTTTCACTGTCAGCATCTGGGCAAGGGCACAGAGGACTGACAGGAAAACCCTAATAGCTATTGCCCCTTTAAGGCTGTTTTTCAGTGCCCTGATTCTACCTCTAGTCCTACAAATTCTGCCTTCTTCCAGGTTTTCTTCTGATGCCTGTTAGAAATGGTCCATTCTCATAATTTAGTTCTATTCCCTCATACCTTTGATTTCAGATTTGGCCCTTAATTCTTAAGTCATAGAAATAAAGATAAAGGCAACACATATGAGCCTGAACTTTCCTCCCTATGTCATTTGGATCCTCCTAAGACAGAACTCATCCTTCCCTGCAGCAGGAGGACACTCCCACTCAGCATCTTGCTGAATAAAAGAAGTCCTTACAAAAATCCCTATTTTTATTCCACAGGCAAGGAAACAAATAAGTGTGTCTGATGCTTCTAAGCTTCTGTCCCAAATCTAAAATTCAACCACATTATTCTCAAAAGAGCAGATTAGGAACCCTGAATGCCACCTGTGAGCATAACAGAGAGCTAGCACTCACCTGAATTGGGATCATGGTAGCACAGCAGAGTGAAACATTTCTTCTTCAGCTGCTCTTCCACTTCTAGCTGGAGTCGTGCTCTCATCCACACAAAGTCCTACAGCCACAGAAGCAAAAAGAGCAATGCAAATAGACTTTCAGAACTAGGAAGACCCAGCCAATGAATACATGATGATAACCAAAGAAAACGCATGGAGAGACATCAAGGAAACTCATTTCTTGCCTATCAAATTAGCAAAGAATAAAATGACTGTCAAGATCCCATGTGGTGGCGGGGCGTGGTGGCTCACGCCTGTAATCCTAGCACTCTTGGAGGCCGAGGCAGGCGGGCGGATTGCTCAAGGTCAGGAGTTCGAAACCAGCCTGAGCAAGAGTGAGACGTCTCTACTATAAATAGAAAGAAATTAATTGGCCAACTAATATATATAGAAAAAATTAGCCAGGCATGGTGGTGCATGCCTGTAGTCCCAGCTACTCGGGAGGCTGAGGCAGCAGGATTGCTTGAGCCCAGGAGTTTGAGGTTGCTGTGAGCTAGGCTGACGCCATGGCACTCACTCTAGCCTGAGCAACAAAGTGAGACTCTGTCTCAAAAAAAAAAAAAAAAAAAAAAAAATCCCATGTGTGTGAAAACCTAGGGAGCTGGGAGCCCTGGAATACCTTTCTGGAGAGCAGTTTGGCAGTAGGTACCAATATGTTCTATGTGTATAAGCTCTGACCAGGGATCCCACTTCTAGCACCGACACTAGGGAAATAATCACATGAGGGCAAAGACACATGTGAACTAATATGCTTATTCAGTGTGGTTTCTAACAGCAAAAGTGTAGAAAGAATATCTATCAGTAAGGTTAAGCAAATTATGCTACATCCATACAGTGGATCCTAGCAGTGATTTAAATTGATGATACAAGAAAAGTAAGCTCTACTCTTGTGTCTAGACACCATGCTGAGAGTGCCATAGGAGGTACCATCTTATTTACATTTATTTATTGACTTGAAAAAGAGTCCAAAATATGTTACAGGAAAACAGACTACACACTCACTATACAAGCATGGAGGGTATAATACCATTTATGTCAAGCTGTTTATAATAATATTGTGTTCCTATATGTAGTATTTCAGCTTTTACTTGCTTCTGTGTAATGTTTTTCTTATTTGAGTTTGACTACCCTAAATGTGTATCATTTTTACAAAAATGATAAAGCTTAACAAAAGAATTTTAAAGATATAGGATAAATTAAGCCATTTTACTTCTTTGGTCCCAATATCTGCCCACTCCCAACCTCTGAGGGTGGCATGAGTTCCAGAAGGTCTGCTTTCTCCAGCCCTAGCAGTGGAGGTATCTCCCTCTCCTGGCTAGGGCCTAAGAGCCGTGTCAGTTCAGTCACAAGTAGCCGCTGTTCAAGGGTCTCATGAAACTGAGAAAGACAGAGAGAATTAAAAAACAGAGGTGACTATAAAACAACTCCCACTCTACCTCTTCCATCCTCATGAACCAGTTCTTCACACACAAGTCATCAAGAGGATGACTTGTCTGATGACAAGTCCTCAGACATGTCATCCTCTTCAGTTACCTCCGCGGCTGCAAGTGCCCTCTCCTGTCAATCGTTCTATTTCAAACCCTGGCAACACACCTGCTCCTTCCCCCATAATTAAAGTCCATTTCTTTTTTGATAACCCATTTACCAAAGCTCCTATTTCTCCTAGATCACATCATCAGACAAAGCCACAGTTGGCCTGGTCATTTCTATAGGTGGTAACTGAACCTCACTTCATTTTTTCTGCCTTACCTTTTTGTCCTCAGAAGTTAAATTTGTGTCTTGTGTCTTCACATAGTAGTCCACAAGCAGCTCTTGAATGATTCTCTGTAAAATCTCAGACCTCAACCATGTTGTCTTATGCAGTCGAACTTCCTTCCATGCCTAGAAAACCCAAAAATCCCAGGTAAAAACCTCTCCCTCTGGAGAATATTCCCTTCCTCCTATCATTTCTTCTCCCAGGGCCCTTACCTGAGCCTGCTCCTTTGCCAGGGTGAGGCTTAAGCCACTCTCGTCCACATGCTGTGAGAGGCTCAGGAGCAGCTTGCTGAAGTATGGGTTCTGTAACAGGTCCTCTTCACTCAGGTTACAAGGAGGAAGCTGTTTGCTGCACACTTAATGGCATGTCCCCCAGAGGGACAAAAAAGCAAAAAAAGGTATGAACTCTTACTTTACATAATTGAGCATATCTTAATATTCACTTCCAATAAACCCCTAAAACCTAGGTTTTTCATAGGAAAGGTTTCTAAATCAAGCAAGATGTTTTTTTAAAAAATCCACAAATAGGCTGGGCATGGTGGCTCATGCCTGTAATCCTAGCACTCTGGGGGGCCAAGGCGAGAAGATCACTCAAGGTCAGGAGTTCAAAACCAGTCTGAGCAAGAGTGAGACCCTATCTTTTCTAAAAATAGGAAGAAATTAGCTGGACAACTAAAAATATATAGAAAAAATTAGCTGGGCATGGTGGCACATTCCTGTAGTCTCAGCTACTCGGGAGGCTGAGGCAGAAGGATTGCTTGAGCCCAAGAGTTTGAGGTTGCTGTGAGCTAGCCTGATGCCACAGCACTCTAGCCTAGGCAACAGAGCAAGACTCTGTCTCAAAAAGAAAACAACAACCAAAAAAACCCACAAATAAACTAAACACAATACTCAAGATAACAAGCATTTATGTTGTATACAGGGATATTAGTCAAGGGGGAATAAGTATCCAATAAAACTAAGATCTTAGAAAATAGAAATGCAGTAGGTTAATATTAGACAAAGAGAATCAAGAATAAGGGACCTTTAGTAGAAATCACCACAGTATTCAAAATGCCTCATTCACCCAGAATTACTAGAGTTCTTAAGGAAGGGAAAAAAACACATGTAAGTTTACAACTTTGGATGTGATCTCTAGTCACATAAGCAAGACAGACAGAAAGTATAGTCTTTTTTTTTTTTTTTTGAGACAGAGTCTCACTCTGTTACCTGGGCTAGCATGCCGTGGTATCAGCCTAGCTCACAGCAACCTCAAACTCCTGGGCTCAAGCAATCCTACTGCCTCAGCCTCCCGAGTATCTGGGACTACAGGCATGCGCCATCATGCCCGGCTAATTTTTTCTATATATATTAGTTGGCCAATTACTTTATTTCTATTTATAGTAGAGACGGGGTCTCGCTCTTGCTCAGACTGGTTTTGAACTCCTGACCTTGAGCAGTCCGCCCGCCTTAGCCTCCAGAGTGCTAGGATTACAGGCGTGAGCCACTGTACCGGCCTAACTAACCAATTCTTAACCCATATATGTACAGAACGGTACAAGCATGAGAAAAAAAACAAGAAGTTGGGGTCCTCTGGTTATTCCCTATGTACAAGGGGCTTTCTTCCATCTCTTTTCCCATATGCCCTCTCCTGGGGTCTTTTACCCGTACTTACCAAAACACTCAAATTATCTTTCTTTTGAACATTATACACAAATTCCTTTTAGAGAATACCAACTGAAGGATTTGATATGGAAAGACTCTAAAGGTAGAAAATGCAAGTTCTTGAAGATATAAAAAGGAGGCCGGGTGCAGTGGCTCATGCCTGTAAATCCTAGCACTCTGGGAGGCCGAGGCGGGTGGATCACTCAAGATCAGGAGTTCGAAACCAGCTCTGAGCAAGAGCGAGACCCTGACTCTACCATAAATAGAAAGAAATTAATTGGCCAACTAAAAATATATAGAGAAAAATTAGCCAAGCATGGTGGCACATGCCTGTAGTCCCAGCTACTCGGGAGGCTGAGGCAGCAGGATTGCTTGAGCCCAAGAGTTTGAGGTTGCTGTGAGCTAGGCTGGACGCCATGGCACTCTAGCCAGGGCAACAAAGTGAGACTCTGTCTCAAAAAAAAAAAAAAAAAAGATATAAAAAGGATTTGAGATGTAAAAAGAACTCAAGATATAGAAGGATTTCAGATTTTAGAGAACAAAAGATGAGAAAATTCAAGACCATAGAAGGAAGCCTTGAAGGAATTTGTTGGCCACTCTTTGTAATGTCTGATAATACAGCTTGGGAGCATCTTGAGTTTTTAGTCTGCTGCACAAGCAGATACTGAACCTACACTAACATGAGTTGGTATCATCTGTTTTCCAATAACAGAATATTCAAGAATCTCCATATATTCTAGGCTTCTATGAAAGAAACCACACTGGTGAACATTGTAAATCCTTTTTATTACAGAAGGCAAGAACATAGATAAGACCTCTTTGGATAAATCATCAAACCTTTTGCAAATGGCTATGCTTACCTTGTTGAAGTATTTCCATCCCTTCTCCAGGTGAGCAGAAATCTCCCAGATGCATTTGATTTGCTTAGGATTCTTATCTATGGAATCAAGTGGGGGAAAAAAAAGGTGAATAAACAGCTGGCTGCTCCAGGTGAAACTACCTTGGTTTGAGTTTTATTGTCCACAAGCTGGGAAGGAATCTCAGGGATGCCTTTTATAGAGCACAACTATATCACATATTCAGGGTCCAAGCTCTTAATTGGTTTTTATCGACAGACTCAACAATCACCAAAACATTTCACATTCTAAGCATTATAAGGTGTCCATTTGTTCCAAGCTGTCCAAAACAAGTCTCCTAAAAAGAAAGAAAACTGAGCCGGGCATGGTGGCTCACGCCTGTAATCCAGCACTCTGGGAGGTTGAGGTGAGCGAAATTGCTTGAGGTCCATGAGTTTGAAACCAGCCTGAGCAAGAGCAAGACCCCCATCTCTACATAAATAGAAAGCAATTAATTGGCCAAATAATATATATAGAAAAAATGAGCCGGGCATGGTGGCAATGCCTGTAGTCCCAGCTACTTGGGAGGCTGAGGCAGTAGAATTGCTTGAGCCCATGAGTGTGAGGTTGCTGTGGAGCTAGCCTAACACCACTGCACTCACTCTAGCCTGGGCAACAAAGTAGGACTGTGTATCAAAAAAAAAAGAGAAAGAAAACTTTCCAATTCACTAGAATCTAAAACAAGAGGAATTCTCCCACCACCAATTATGTCAGTTAAAACGAGCTGCTGCCTTTCCAGTTATGAGTGAAACTAGGGATGAGAAAAAAATCAAAAGTCCGTTCTTTCCCCCAGTCAAATAACTCAGCTATCCCAAATTCCATAATATGTTTTTTGTGCCTTCTTTAACTTGTCCCTTTCCTCAAGATTGCTTGGTAGTTTGAATCATTAATCCTAAGAATCAATCCCTCCAGGAGTGACAAAATCATTCCACACTTGAACAACAACAACTGGTTTTCTATAAACAGCATTAGCAAAAGACACCTGGAGGAAAGAGCATGACAAAAGACTGACAGTGAGGTCCGTGCCAAACAGAAGTTTGAATGCAACAGGTATAGTTAATACCCGCTTGCAAGCTGGGACGTTGATCTGTGTTTTGCCAGAACATGGAGGACACAGAAAAAGAGTGACACGCAAAGAGCAGGGCAGTAAAGATGGACCAGAAGGTTTTGGACCTCCATGAGAAAAATTTTCACTTGACATTCATTCTCATGTTTGTGCTCCCCCCTCCTCTTGTGGGTATCAAAACTCCAAAAGGGCAGAAGAGCCTCCCCAGAGCCAGAACAGTCACTTCGAAGTTATCTAGGATTCACTTCAATGTTCAAACATGTGGTTACTTTGCTGGTTTTATGGCTACCACCATGTAACTACATCATTGTTTTGTAACATGGTCCAGAGGAGGAGCCAAGGCCGAGGCCAGAAATGCTAGGACTTAATTTTCAGCTCTTTGCTTTCGGGGAATGGGTAAGCGGGCAAACTCCACTCCTTGACAAAACGGGAGAAAGGAGCCCTTGGAGCAAAGAAGCCACAAGACTGCAACCAAAAGCCCACTAACAGTGAGCCAGGTAACAACGGTCATGAGGATCAAAGGCCTGCAAAAAACAAGTGCAGGTGCATGCACCCACCGGGCATCAGGGAAACCAACTTTACTTTCAAAAAGTTAGCTTGTTTTTTCACCTCCCGGGGGAAGGGGAAACGCCACTGGGGGGTTCTTAGGGGGGATTTCTTTACCTTTTTTAAAGGTACAGGGGGGGGGCGGAAAGGCAAACCAGGACTGGGGCAACAGATCGATTCTCTCCACCTCCATGGCAACTCCAAGAACGGTAAAACGCTGCAAGGACAGAGCATTTAATGTTCTGACTCCCAGGTCTTTTAAAATTCTTAGAGCCGCTTTAACACGGCTGCCACTGAACGTTAAATTGGGATTTTTACCGGTATTTTCACAAGAAGTGAACCCTTTTACAGCGGCCCAGAGAACAAATGCCAGACGGGCTCAATTCCCGGGGCGCCCTACTCATTCTGCCTGGGCGGCAAGGGATCCCCAGGGGGGGCGAGGGACGGCGGGAGGCCGGAGGCGGGGGCTGGGCCAGATTGACTCTTCCCCGGCGGCCTCCTCGCCAAGCAGGGCGCCGCCCGCCCAACCTCAAAGCAAACCGCAAAAAAACCCTGGGGGGACCGCTGAAGCAACGGAGCCAGTGCGAGGAAGCCTGAAAGGATAGGGGGGCGGGGGGCGCCGTTACACCGGGACCTGCCCCCCCGCGCAGGCTCCCGGAACTTCCACTCCAGCCCTCCGGCGGGGCTGGGGGGAAAAAGCCGAGATCGAAGGAAGGACAAGCGAGGAAGGCCCAGGGGAAGGAGAAGGGGCTGAAAAGTGCTGCAGAAGGCCGCGAGGGAGGAAGGAGTGGGCGGGGCCGCACTCGAGGCCGGAACCGGCAAGGCCCGCCCTCCTTCGCGGGCGCGCGCCCCATTTTTTGGCGCCAAAACGGTCGCGAAACCTGGGCGTTGTTGGGAAAACCGGGCGGGAAAGAGGGCAGCCTTCAAGGAGGCTTTACCCCCTCCTTAGTCCCTCCGTGAAGGGCAAGTGGAAAAGGAACTAAGAAAAGAAACTTTATGGGGCCTCGAGAGTCCAGCACAACCAACGCGGCTTTCCCCACCTTCTAGACTATAGCGCCCTGTGGGGAATCACTATCACACCCCCTTTACAGAGGGGAAACTAAGGCACAAGAGGTAAGTTCAGGTGCCGGTTTGCGGGTGAAACCGTCCCCGGTGCCCGCCGACTTCCAGACCGCCACCCACACGGCCTGCGTCCCTCACCCCG